CTCTCTCTCTCTCTCTCTCTCTCTCTCTCTCTCTCTCACACACACACAAACACACACGAGCTTAATTATTGATAAATATCTCTGATCTGCTGCGTTTTTGCGCGCTTTGGATGAGAGAATTAAGAACACACTGTGAGAGAAGAAGGGATATTTAGGAGGAAAATACAAACTAAGCAGCATAAATGTTTATTATGTTGACTTAAAAGTGCTTTTATCTTTAAAACATTTGAGTTATTTGGGGAAAGAAATCAGTCTTTTGGCGTTAAAATTACGCCAAAATCAAGCTTTAGTTTTTGCGCAACGATCCATTTTACGCCACTTAATTTTATTTTATCAGTATTATTATGTCATACCTGTTAGTAGTTTATCTCTAAAGAAGGGGCTGCGGTTTTAATTTCATTGATTCATCTTGAAAAGCCATCAAGTCTCCATACCTTCAATAATAAATAAATAAAAATCATAAAAAGAAATTAGGGGTTTGAGACAGATTCGTATCGCGTTAATTAACTGATCTGGAATTAAACATTACAATTAAAACAAGTAGGGGAATGTTTTTAATTTTCTCCACATCAAACACACAGAAAAAGAAGCCAATAATTATTGTGTGTGTGTGTGTGGCTTTGTGCGTGCGTGCGTGCGCGCCGGAGGCTGAATTCATTAGAAACAAACAAAAAAAAAAGTAGTAAGAAACGACAGCACACACCCTGCAGAGCCGCAGCCATGCGTCTTTCTGACACTAGTTGRCGCGTTTGTCTTTTCAATCAGCTCCGACAGTCTGAGGCAGAAGGAAACTTTTTTAATTTTTTTTTTTTTATCTCCACGCAGAGAAACAGTCAATGAATTTTAATTTCTTTGGACCCAAACTGAAGGGTTCAATTGGTTCTCATTCAGAGATTTTTTTAATTATTTTATTATTTTATTATTTTTTGTCGCAGGAAGAACAAACTGTGCCATTTTTTCGATACTTAATTAAAGCCGGACCTGTTTACATTAAATCTAAAACTGTTGACTGAATAAACAACAATTAAAGGTTCTTATTTGCTCATTAAATTAAACTGCTGCGGTTTGAAGACACTTAATGTTTCTGTGGTCAGATTTTTCCAGAAGGCACCGTTTAATTGTATCAGTGATTTTAGAAAACGTTACATTATAAAATCATCCTGTTCGCAGGTAAAATAATTAATTCATTTGGATTTTAAAAAGAAAGAAAAAAATTCCCCAGATCGTAGGCAGGTGCAAAAATCAACAGCAAACTTGGATCTGTGAAAAAGAAGAAAAAAAAGGACAACAACAACTGGGCATATTCTGTTTGCGTCTCAGTTAAAGTGCGTTCTGGCAATTTATTGCCCCTTTTCCCGACATGTTATTATGCTCCTCCGGCTCATCTTTTTAAATGAGTTGCATTTTTTTAAGTTGCTGCACAAAAATAAATGAAGCTTAAAGAGGAGATATTAAATGGTTTCAATTCCCCCCCGGATCAGTGGTGCAGTCTTGAAGGGTTTCAAAATAAAACGCAAATCAAAGAGGGAAACTCGAATTCTCACTTTAGATTTAATTTCAAATTATCTATTAATGTTAATATAATTTTCTGTAAATGATGGCAGATCATTAAAAAAAATCACAAAACAAGTAAAAACAACTCCCCATCTGAGTAAAGTTTACTTACAATTTTGGCCCCCTTTTTTGTCATTATTTTCCCCATCATGTAGCCTAAATATAAAATTTAAAACAATGTTACACCTTGAAAATATTTAATCGTAAACGTTTGTTCCTATGAAGTTTGAAAGTTGTTTTATTTGGATGAACTTTAGTATTTGACAAGAAAAAGCTTTATATTGACAGAAAAAAACCGACTCAGATTACATCATCAACTCTTCCCTTTTAATGTATGACATCAAAACATAAAACTTTTGTCTTTTAAAGTCACTTCTTTTGTTTTAAAAACAGGTTAAACACAAAAAAAACTCTTATCCGCTTCAGCCTCAGTGATCCTGACTGGAACCCTGATTGCAAATTCAATGAAAAAGCTTCTTTAATCAGATCATCTGTCATGCAGCATCTATTTCAAGCTCGACTGGGACGGCGACAATGCCGGTGATATTTTTGTCATCCCTCTGCCCTGGTTCATTATTAATACGTGACCACATTATGCAGCTCATACCCCACTCAGTCCATAATGTGGGCTCCGGGCGCCTGTCACATTTAGACCTCTGCATTTCAACACACAGTTTCTACAGTTTCAGCCGCACAGGCACTGAGCACGGAGCCCGTCGTGCCCCTGAACGATTTTTAATGATCCAAGTGGGCCGAGCCTGAAATCAAGACACAACTCCTGGAGGATATGTGAAACCCACCTCAAAAAGGCCTCAGCGTGCTTCTTACCATTCAGGCAAATGAATCCTTCAAATCAAAAAAGGCAAATTATTGCTTTACTGATGAAAACTGATTAAAAACACGTCATCAAATGTGAAACTTCTTAAAACTTTGAACGGCTCAAAACCAAAAGTGTAACTAAATCAAAAGATTCCTTAGGGTCCTCACTGAAACATACCCTCYTCTGTTTGCTTCAAGCCATTTAGCTTTCAAGTGTTATGAGTCATAATGTACAGACTAATATGACTATGATTACCGTTAGCAGAGAAACTRGAGGAAGCCTCTGGGGTCTGCAATGTATACCTGCCTCTAAATGCCACCCACACGTCTCTCAGTGCCACTTTAAAGTCACTTTGAAGCTGGGAGCTGCTTCAGATGCATTAAGATGCCTTTAAAAATGGTGTTTTTTTTTCTTCTGAATTTGATCTATTAGTTTGCGTAAACTCCCAGGCTATTTTCAGACGCAGCACACATAAGCTCTTTTGGATATGGGTAGTTATTCATTTGGGGGGGAAAAAAAGAGGGGGCCATAAGGCCAATTAGAAATACTTTGAGGTTCGGYGATGACATAAGACAAAGATATCTATCTTTAGAGAAAACTGTGGCGGTCGCACATTTCTGTACATTCACAAATTACAGGGCGAGCTTCGGCCCTCAACCCACCGAATGCATTCCTTCCGAAAAGTGTCTGCTCGAGTTTCAGCCGGGGGTTTCTGTTCAGTGGAAATATGAGTGTTCTGAATGGACGACTCCTATGAAATGGAGTTTTTATTCCTCTCGGATTAAATTAGCTCTACTTTGGGGCTTGAGGTATTTTTTCTTTTTTGTGCGAATGATGAATTCTGCGGTGGCTGTGGAACGCGGAGCTTGTTTACCCTTCCCTCCTCTTTTTTCTCCTTTTTGTTGAAACGTAGCTCACTATGAAATGGACTTTTTCTGCTTGATATGACAGGACTGTCTGTGATTAGACTCCCAAGCATGATGTAAGCCACCAAAGCCATTTGTGCCAGTCCCCTCAAAGCCAAATCATATTCTAGCGTCAGAGTGTTTATATACACAAGTTTATGGAGAAACTTTTAAACAACAGTAAGTGGGTACAGACTGTTTGGGTTTTGGGTCTTTTGCTCTTCTGATGGCTGATTCGTTCTCAAATTTTGATTACACAACGTGTCAGCACATCACAATTGGCGGTCATTTTTGTCCATTTTGATGTTCAGACGAGAAAATAGGAAACACATTGAGCAATTTTGATCATACAAATTTGTATGTTACTCTTTCTCTGCCAAGGTCGTCTGTGTTAGTTTTAATGATGGCCAGAATTCATTTGTGTACTCAAGCTTTG